AGTGTAGAGTGAGCTTTACTCTGTATCTAACCCTGTGCTGTCCCTGTTCTGGGGGTGTTTGATGAGGGACAGTGTAGAGGGAGCTTTACTCTGTATCTAACCCCTTGAGTTCAACCCTGGAATCGAACCTTTCGGTTAATATTTACTCCATGAAACCTCTTGTTATTTTCAAACAGAGGAACTAGCTGTGACCATGTACTGTCCTGGTGTCGTTGACTCAATTTCCTTTTGTTCATTTGATGTGACTGACTTGATCTCTCCACAGGAGTTGCTCAGAAACCCAGGGTCACGCGGCGTCTGAGGTTTGCTGAGTGAGTGTGTTTCTGAGTTCATTTCTTTGCCGCTTGTTTATTTCTCTCTCTGTCTCCCACTCTCGCCCTCCTGCCCCCGTTTATCGCAGGTACCCAGGATATTGTGTTTGGCGAAGTGGACCGATAGCCCATCGTTGGATAGCCCTCGTTCACCGTCCCTGTGATCTGGTTCTCGCTCCACCTTGCAGCGAGCCTCCTCCATCTCTGCACTTGCCTGGGTCCCGTTCCCACGTGTGTGTGTGTGTGTGTGTGTGTGCGCGTGCGCGTCTCTCTCTCCAGTTCAGCTATTTGCACCAGTTGGTAATAAATGGCAAGAACCTTATGACACATGTTTCCCTCGTTTGTGCCAGAAGCAGTCATGTTGTTTTCCTGCCGGGAGTTTGTTTGGGGAAGCTTTCTTACCCTGTTTGCTCAGAAATGATGTTTGGGGAGGGGAGAGCTGTCTGTGTGTGCACACATGTGCCCTTGTGTGTCTCTGTGCCCACACATGCTGTGAATGGCGATAGGTCTGGGGTTGGAGTACGGTGGGTTCAGTGCTGGGTTGACCGTCAACACTGAGGGAGCTATGAGGTTTGTTGGCACCACACGGGCCAGGATCTTGCTGTGTCTCTACGTTCCACTGTTGTTCTTTGTCCTTACCCACCTCTGTCTCTCTGTCTGCGCTCCTTCCCCAGCCCGCTCCCTCTTCCCCCTCTTTTCCCCCCGTCCTGCCCCTTCTCCCCAGCCCCCACTCCCCGCCTCTCTTTATTCCCCCACCCATTTCCTGTTTAGTCTCTGGCCACATGCCTACTGGTCAGTTCCACAGCCTGTCGAAGGACTTCCTTCTGTGTTCACACAAGGCAGCCTGCAGCCCACTGTGCACAGACCAGAGCAGATTGCCCGCTCTCTGTGAAACCCTGCACCAGGATTCTGTGCCCGTCTGCCATGCAGCTCCTCCTAGCCTTGGTGTTTCTGTTGCAGCTTGTTCCTGCAGGTCAGTGATCCAGTTCCATGTTTCCTCAACCCTCTCTGTCTCTCTCTCT